AGAGAGAGAGAATGATGAAGGACCCTGCTGTATCCAGCAAGGCCGAAATCCTCGCCGTGCATGGCATGGTCTTAGCAGAGAACGAGGCCAGCAATGACCAGCCACAGCCAACCCTGAATCAGGAGGATTAGTGATCAGGGCCTTTTCATTAGCAGTCCACAGAAAGCCGCGCTTCGAGAGGCTCAGCATTCCACACGTCTAGGTGTTCACAGGTTTCAATTGTTGCTCCTTACGCTTCAGGACTTCAGGCCTTCTGCACAAGCAGTTTCACGAAGACCATCTATTTCGGAGTGCACGGAATCTATGCAGTGACAAAAACCGAGCTTTCGAGCTCGAGCTCTGTACCAGGGCGTTGAGGTCCAGGAACCGAGGAATTTGGAAACAGCGATCCCAGCTCGTCTCCCCAATGTTCCCATGCCAACATGGCACATTCCATGCATCCGCATCCGTGTCTTTGCAAGGCCAAATGCAGACCCATACTATATATATATATATATATATATATATATATATATTTATTTATATTTATTTATATTTATTTATTTATTTATTTATATATATATATAGGAAAGTACTTTCTGCACTCGAAACCTCCAAATGCAGTATTTCCTTGCATGGATACGATCTTGTGCGGAAGCACCGCGCTGTACGTACAGTAACAGTTGTATCGTGTATACTGGTAGAAACGAAACCCTCAACGTTAACTGTGCCGTAAAAGTCAAGGTTCCCTCCGCATATGTTTTGTATGTGGGTACACTTCTTGGCTCACGGGGATATACATGTTGTGAAGCACAGCATGTAAAAGCCATGACGCGAAGGCGCGCAAACTTATATAGTCGTTGTGACCGTCAGTGCACACGGTCTGTTGCAGTTGATTCAGCCAAATAACCCAACTCTTAGTAATTTGTTCGGGGCATTCCTAGTCTTATGCTTGGAAAGGAGCAGATGCCTACAGCACCCCGAAAGTGCTGCACAGGTGCCATATACAATCCGTAGCTAAAGTTGCACGGCACAGGCGAGATTGTATCCTCAGGCCGATATCCTGTACCACAAAAGCCGAAGTCCTCGCAGCTCGCAGCTGCGGTGAGGCCGACTACCTCGAGATCTTCGAGTCGCCGGACGACCTCCTGGCCCGACACCCCAGTCCCGGCCAGCGTAAAGAATTCCAATCACAATCGGGGTCGAGAACTTGATAGAGTCGGAGAGAACGTGATCGTGGCCAGCACAATTTTCGAATGATATGAGCGCTAGGACTGGGGCCTAGCTTACTAGAAAAGGGCAACTAGGTAGATTTGTCTATTGCTTCTATGCTTCCAGAAGGATAACCATTTCAAGCCGTAGAACCATTAGTTGGCTCAGGTTGCAGTGGAGACGCTGCTGGACTGTCCAGGGCGACGTAAGCAGCGCCAGTTTGAATTCGAGGCACCCTGACCATTCCCTCTGCAGGGAGCAGGTCCATCCCCAGCTTTGCATTTAGGGCTTCCAGCTTCCATGTACTGGTGTTGGTTGTTTTGAGGCCAGGGTCTGGACATCTTTTCGTGTTTTGTTTTTGATGCTTCTCAATTGCACAACAAACTCCAAGCGCTGTTTTTGGCGAACCTCAACCATGCTTACTGAGACTTCGCTCTGTGAAAGCACAGAAAGTAAGCCGGCCGATGGTCTCGGATTCAAGCTCAGTCCGTCAAGTTCCCTTAATAAAGAATTCACAACCAAACGAATCAGCACCGTATCCCGCATAACATTCTTCACGAAAAGCGAGGGCAGGAGCCCAAACGAAAGTCCAATTCAATCGCCTGATCCGACTTTGCACCAGTAACCTCCCCCGGCTTGTCCGAGTGTGAGCGCCGAAACATTATCCCTCTACCCTTGACACTACCCAGAGGCTCCATAGTAGTTCCGTTTTGGGGACTACCTTATAGGATTCTATATATGAACCCCAAAAAGGAACTACTATGGAGCCTCTGGGTATGCCAGACCATGGATGCCGACTATATGCCCCTGGCATTGCGCCCCGGGGGCCCGCGGGCCTGTCAGCACTTGCTCGGCTGTGTGGAGGTGCCTGGGTTAAGGGCTACAGGGCAGATGTAAAGTTTCACAGCCGAAAAAGATTGCGGGAAGTTCTGCAGTGGTGGAAGGCGTGGTGGTATTCTCCGGCTGTGATTTTGACATGCTGCTGTATTGTTGTTCTGTTCTTATGGCGATAGACTTCTCTGACTGGCACTCACAGTGTTCGATTCCAGGGATTCGGCGGTTGGTCGAGAAGGCGTCCAGCTTGTGCCTGTATTCTTCCAATCCCTACACTGCGGCTGTTGAGATTTGGGGGGGGGGATTGCGCATGCCCACGCAGTCGTAGTGGAGGCGACGTGGCGTGAATTCCTGCGGTGGGTCATCAATAGCTATGATTTACAATATTTTACAAGCAAAAACCTCCGAGCAGCCAACTTTTCGAGGCTGCCCTCTGCAACGACGACGAGTCGGATGCCGAGTTTGTGTGCTTCAAGGCTTCAGGTTTTCAGGTTCGTTGCGCGCAGACGCACACGAGTTCCCGCAGCCGCAAAAACCGAGCTCCTGTAAAGAAGCTGGCCTTAGTAATTACCTATACTACTTTGGGGGGGGTTCTTTAATTATCATGATTATGGTATATTGGGCCCCAAAACCCTGGTCTAACCATTAGGTCACGCGCCGACCAGGACCCTGCCGGCGACGTGATGTACGAACTGCAATATTTCCTAGGGAAAAGCTAATTTCTTAGCAAAAATGGGTATTGAAAAACACCTAAGAACTAGTAACGACCTGAGCCGAAAAGAGAAGTTTAAGCCCTGTAAGTTCCAACACTTGCAGCCAAGGCACACAGAGCTCTGGGGCTTAAGGTTTAGCATATCGTACATACATATGTAAGGGTCCTCGACATATGTTCATGTGTATGTGGCGTCTGTGGTCTATGTGGTATTCATGGCATGTAAGACATACTGTATAGACTCATATGGCGTTGTAGGCAGATACTACATATATGACACAGAACATTCACCAGGCGGAGAATACATAGAACACATACTGTACATGTGGAGCATGCAAGAGAAACAGTACATGCAGCCTAGCTGTAACCGACAATGTTGAATTTTCGCACAATGACCAGGCACCCGATTGCGGGGCAGGTGTTGGCCCTGCATAGTTGATTTCCAAGTCCGATGTTGTCCGGCTAGCTGTGCGAAATGAAGCCCTGTGGCTCGAAGACGGACGCCGCAGGCTGAGGTCACATGACAGGGTGGCAGGCTTTGGGGTCTAGAGCTTTTGGGCTTGTACTCCGAAGACATCTTGAGGTTTTCAACTGTCGTCAAGACCCCCCCTCTCCCCACCCCACCCCCGAACGCCCTGAAACAGCAGGTTAACACGCGAAACGCCCGAAACAGCAGGGTAACACCAGGGACCTAGCACGCGCACCACCAACTAATAAGGCCCGCATATTAAATTTGATCTACTATTTTGGGGGTCCCTCATTATATTTATAGTATAATGGACACCAAAACCCTATTCTACTCATTCAGACCCTTACATTAAATTTGATCTAAACCCAGAACCCACATGCGATACCTCTGAAAAAGGTTTCGTGACTTCCGACGGACCTGGTCGGAGAAGGACGGCTACGGCCGCGGCCTTAAGGACAGCATGCTCTTGAAGTTGAAGCGGAATCAAGGGATTTTATAGGGTGCATAGAGCGGTTGCAGGAGCTTAGCAGGATTTCTTGAGTGGGGCCTGCAGTAGTATGACGTCAGGGTCGGCAAGAGAGCTTTATGTGACACGGCCGTGATCCTTAGATGTTCTGCCACCCCCGAGTGTTGTTGTGAGTGCTGTTTTGCTGTGGGTGCTCCGGGCGGCAGGCAGCGAGTGAGTGAGTGAGCTCGCGCACCCACACCAAACAAGAAACGCCCCGGACCCTGGATGTCTTTCTGCAGTGGATGCTCAGAGGCGGCGGGCAGCAAGTGAGTGAGTGAACTTGCTGCGCACCTGCAGCAAAAAAATGAGCGCGCCCCCCGGCTGGCCGGCCCAGGCCCCATTGGAGCGCAGCAAAAAAAGCACACACAACACACAAATGAACATTCTTATTACCGTGTAGGGTTCGAAGGGTTTTTCTGTTTGGGCCCCGCCCCAATTGCGAATCGGAGTCACGGGTACTTGGACGGTCGGGGGACTTAGTAAGTAGGTAATAAGTAGACTTATAAGTACCCTAAAAGGGACCCTAATTGGGGTTATGGTACTTACAAGTCCCTAAAATAACCAGTTACTAAGTCCCCTAAAGACCCTCCAAGTAGAGGGCCGCTGGCTGAGGCATCCTGCGCCTGGCCGGCCTCCCAGAAGTGCGCGCCCCAGAGGGTGGAGGGTTAAGGGTTTAGGGTATAGGGTTCAGGGTTTAGGGTTTTAGGGTTTAGGGTTAAGGGTTGGCTCCGAACTCCCTGGTTTCTGTCCGACCCCATTTGGCTAAGCCCTAGAGGCCCAGAGCTGCGACTCCAGAGCAGCCCAGATTCTGAGAAACGTATGGCTCCAGATTCAGATCCAGGGTCCAAAGTTGATATGAGGGCTCAGGGTTCTAAGCTGGCCAGCAGCACGGGAATCGTGAGCAAGATGGTTTGATCATGTATGTAAACGGCGATTCAGGAGGCTGCTATGTACTGCCACTGGAAGCGGAGCACGCTTAGCAGGCTAAATGTCATCAGCATGATGCGGGAGTCGTGCGTTCTAATGTCTCGCTGACTCCATTCCCAACTAAGAGCTTTGTTAGGGTGCTCAGCTGGATACCTGTTGTTCCGATGCCGTCCCCATTTCGCGTTCGGTTATTTGGCCATGACCTGTAGGTAGGAAATGGACATCAAGCCCAGCTAATATTTGAGTAGTGTCTTTTCTCCGTCGGGCTCTCGGATAGCGCCGGTAGAAGGGGGAAGAGACTCTCAGAGAACGCTCGCAACTCAAGGAGTTGCTGAAGATTTCGCAGGTCTAACCTGGCCATGGGTGCACGTGGGCGCCACGTTGGGTACAACAAGCCAGCTTCGGTCAAGTTATTTGCGGTGCACTGTCTGCTTGGTGCCGCTCTTATTGGTGCTTCGACATACCAGACGCATCTGCTTTCCTTCGCGCGCCTGCACTTCGCTGGCTGCTATCCGGCCAGAGGCTGCAGAAAACTGGGTGCCGTGAGAGTTTCGGCAGCTGGCATGAACCATACTTCGCAAGAGTTTGACGACGAGGCCTTAGAAGCCCTTTTCGGCAACGACATCAAGTTAACTTACGGATTCACTTCTCAACCGAGGCAAAGTCCGTGGAAGGCAAAGAAAAAGGGTCGCAGCGCCAGGGCCAAAAAGCCGTGGGCAATACCAAAGAAGACGATGCCGAAGAAGAAGCCTAAATGCAAGACTGTGAGGCAACATAAGCATCAGGACAAGAAGCAGAGAGCCATGGTCCAACAGGAAGAAGCCAATGAGAAGATTCTCGCGAGACAGAAACCAAAACGCCGCAGGATTGTGACGTATCACCTGCCGGGCGGCATTCGGGCAAGCGGTGTTGGGTCGAATATAAGGAAGGCAACAAGAAATGCGGCATGTGAACTGATAAACATCTTGGAGCGACCGCTGCTTTCTCCAGAAGAGTTTCAGAGCAAGCGCACCTTGGAGACCAACCTCACGTACAAGATTGATAAAGCAAGGAAACGATACTGTTGGACCGGGAAAGATTTCCACGACCGAGATCTCCCCCATGATCTCGGAGAAGCGTTCCGTGAGCAGGGTCTTCAGAATGCCTTCGTCCTCGCTTGGCTGAGTCTGGAGGAGAAACCAGCAGAGCGGCAAGACGAGACTTGGCTGCAGAGGTGGAAAAACGGCAGGGTCGAGTGGTTTGCACAGACTGAGTCAGACATGTCAGACTGAGTCGCTACATGCTAGCAACGGTCACACTGACAAACTTACGCATAACGAACATAAATGCTGCGGCCTTCATGTGACTGGATTTGTGTCTGGAGGTGCTTTGGTGTTTTCAGTGGGTCAGGCCGTGGAGCAAGTGGAGTGAATATTTCGAATTCTGACATATAGTGTTTTTTCGGCCCTCATCAGTCCAACAAGCAATATTGCCCGAACGCGACAGAAACAAGCAGGGCTTCCACATCTATGAAGAACCCGCTCCTTTCCAGTGGCTTTCGAAGAGTGTGCAACGACACCGCAAGGAAATTGATCTGATGCGACGGGTGTGGAACGTCAGTGTGGAGAATGGGTACATGCCGCGAAGACAGGACCAATCCTGGGGCTTGCACGCAGGCGTCGGGGTCCAACAGTCTTTATAGAAACAGTGTGTATTCATCTCAATATACCACATGTTGCAGACAGTTTTCGAGATGCTTCGTTACAACATTGCCTTTTTGTCTACGAGTTCACAATATCGAACCCGGTACATCAAAGCGACTTGCTGATGAATTGAAGAATCAATTTCTACAGTCAAACATCAAACGAGTTGAAACATTAAGTGTTCAGTTCTACTGGTTTAAGATAACTTTATTTTGCCACAATGTATCCCAACCTCTATGTATTGTGCGATAAGTGCGTGCATTCCAACGATATTTGCACGCAACAACCGTCGATGCGGCTGTTCAATATCTATACCAAGTACTGCCTCTGCGTAAAGTACCTGGAATGCCTTCACACCCACAAACAAAACCATGTGGATCATGTGGATCAATAATTGTGTCACTCAGTGATGCCCAAGAACATTATCAAGCTGGTTCCGACGCACGCTAACAGGGTGGAAGTTTATGTGTTGAAGCATCTGTATCAACTGGTATTAGTGAAGGAAGTCAGTCAAAGTGAAATTTGAAAGGTAATGATGAAAGTATGTTTGATTTCTATTCTATTATGTCTTGAGAAGAACATAAATACAATAGTTGCAATACTAACGATGTTAATACCTATAAGTATGCAGGAAATAATCTTCGTTGAGTCACGTTAGTCACAGTTTTTAGGGGCTTCCTGGCCATGATGTGTTGTTTGTTGCTTTCTGATTCTGGCACCGAAGCACAAGAAACCCTAAGCCCTGAACAGCACAAGTCAACCAGCGACAAGCTGGAGGACTTCACGGGCTGGCGCCGTTTCATCGCCTTCGGCCAGGGCGTCTGTGACTATTTGCAGTATGCCGATAAAAAGCGCTCTGATTTGACCAAGGCTGCTGCAATAGTGCAGAAGTTGATGAAGGATGCAAAAGAGACGAGCGCAGAAGAGGCACGCGACATGAGGATCCGGCTGCAAGCCTGCTGCGATCAATTCTGCAGACTAACAGCCCGAAGCCGCATTTGGGATGAGACAGGCTACGAGCCTGGGACTCCTGCACGTCGAAAACACGATGCTTTGCTTATCAAGGAGGCCGATGAACTGAGACCACGTGTGAACTATGCACGGATCGTCCTGCCCATGATAAAGTTTTGTGTCGGTCGGGAAATTGGAAAAAATTACGGACTGGAGTTCCGCGGTTCTGGCCGCACTCGAACAGACATCCATGGAAGCGACATGGATCTTTTCATTTTCGACGAGTCTCTGGGGGGCCCAGTGTCCGAGGTGATGTTGCGAAAGCTTAGGAAATGCTTGCAGAAAAGAATCGAAGCATACAATACATACGGCACAGTTCTTCCGAATCGTCCTCGACCTCTTCAAAACTTTCAAGACAAGACGCCGCATCCGAAGCCGCGCGCCCGGCGCCTTGCGCTGACGACGTCGCCTCGGGGGTCTGCTTTGAGGATTTTAGCGCAGAGCCCGGCCAACCACAACTGGTTCGACTCTTGCCGCCTTGGGATTTATAAGACGAACGGGCTTTGAGGATCGTGTCTAATTTACCTAGTAGTCGAGTAGGTAACCTTTAGCCTGTTTTGGGTAGTATGGTCCCTATTTAACCCCTATATAAGCAAACAAAGTTATCCTTTAGTTCCGGACTGGAGCCAAGAACTGCTAAAAGACTTGGGCGAACGAGGATGTAGTTTTCCGATACTGCATGCAATCTTGGGCCACGGCCAAGTCCTGTCTGATCAGAAGGCATCAGCTGTTGAACCTTACCTTCTCAAGCAACCGCCACATTAACATCTATGGTGCAAGCTCCTATCGTGGAACTTGGAGATAATCTCAGGAAAGGTACGACATCTTGAGATGTCGTCCGGCCGAGTTGCTGCCAGACTTCTTGCAGGACACCGGCGCTACCTAAATGCATCCGTTTGGGCGTAAGTGAGTAAGCAGGCAGGTATGTATGTAGGTATGTAAATGTGTGTGTGTGTGTATGTATGTGTGTATGCCAGCGAGTATTTACGGTGTTTGTTTGTCTGTATGTATGCGTGGATGGACGCATGGGTGGATGTATGTCTGTCTGCATGTATGCATGTGCATATAATGTGGATGCATGCGTGCATGCACATGCAGGCATGTATGTATGTATGCATGTACGCGTTTCTGCATGCATGTGTACATGCTTACATGTATTTATGCATTTATGTATGTACCTATGTGTGTGTGTGTGTATGCACGGCAGAGAGCGAGATGTGTGGGTGTATGTATGTATGCATGTGTCTGACTTGTCGAGCACGAGTGACAAAAATGTATGCATGTACGCCTATATGTATGTGTTTATGTATGTGCATGTGTATTTGTACATGTTACATGTGTATGCATGTATGAAGCCGCAAATGCAACGAACGTGGTGAAACACAGTTGGAAATATGGTTAACGCTTGCTTTTCTATGTGCAGTTTTCGCTTTTGCTTTGGTGACATCCACCGCCTCGTCATCGGCACCAGTAGCTGCGGCTCAGAACATTGGTGCTCTCAGCGAGCGCAAACTAATCATAAAATGCTCACCATGCAGCCGGGCAGACAACTGCTTGTCTCGTGAAGTTTCGCTAGGCCTTCGGGTCTCCAGGCAGCGCACTGCCAAAAAAGTAATGGGTGTGAACGTATACAGTTGTATATGTATATGTATATGTATATGTATCTGATTATTGCCTGAAAGCTCAAACACACTTTAAAATCCATGTTTCCCTTCGTCCGCACATTAATTCGAAAACCGTATCTTTATTTGGTAGATTTCCGTGTCTCATTGATTTTGGGGAAACGTGCAGAATTTGGTATCGGCAGCTGGTATCTAGTGTTATTGTAGTGAAAACAACAAATATGGAGGTAGCCTGTTGCATAAGCGATATATATATAGATTATATAGTGTATCATATCATTATCTTAGCTTATCTGGCAGACCTTTAGCCCCAAACTCCTGACTTTGGACCCGAAGCCTCCCCACACCAGGCTTCAGCCTTAGCATCGTCATAAGCAGTGAATCTGTATCAAGTGAGCCCTGATCATCATAGCGACCATCATCTAGTCTTAGCAGCAGTTCACAACCGTGAACAATTAGTTCGAAAATTAATCATAGACCCGATAAGTCTCAAACCTTTGTAAGCCTTGCCCACAAACAACCCGAAGGTTTAAGCACCCTAACCTTTCCCAACTCGAGGCAGGGCAAAGCCGCGACTTGCAGATTGGCCGGAGAGGGTAGTCTAATCACCCCGCATATATACATGTACACCGTAGTGGGTTTGCCCACATGGTTATGTCGACATTCAGAAAGGGTATATGATTGCATGGGGTACGTGTGTATGCCTGTATGCATGCACTGCATTAAACATTTTGGATGTAAATGTGATATGAATACATACATGTATGGGGCTTAAGGTTTAATTAGGGTTTAGGATTGTGCATAAAAAAGTATATATATATATATATATATATAGATATAGATATATATATATATATATATAGTATAGGCAGGTAGGTATGTCGATGTTGATGTCGGCGGTGGCCTGGAGCAGGGCCGAGGTCTAGCTGCCATGTTTCTGCATCTTCATGTGCCCTATACGTTCTTCGAGCAGTTGGGTGCTTGAGGCTACAACATGATTGGATGGCAGCTTTCTGGCTTCAGATGTGTATCAACAAATAGTGCAGGCTCGAACATACTTAAGCGTTGCAATTGCTAGTCCAACTCATCGGGGCATCGGTAATCTTTAAGCTGTCTAGGCCTAGCTCAAGGCTAGCTTTTTCGTGATGGCTTCGCTGGCGGAAGTATGGTGCAAAATTCCGGGCATGGATGCTCGGGGGGCAAGCGGAAGACTAATTGTAGGGCCGGTGCATCTCAAGCGTGAGGACTTGGACTTTAACTACATGGTTGTCGGACGTGCAATCGAATGGGTGGGCTGCAGACCATCAATAGAACCCTTGACTGATGCTGCAGCGGACTTCTTCCACATGACCAGGGTTAAAGGAAGGACCCCCGCAACACGCGCCCAAGCTGAAAAGCATGATCAGATAGTACTTGGCAGCCACATGACCCCTGCACATGCTATCGGCCCTGAGGTGATTTCTGCAAGAATGCTGCATGGCGTGTGCGGAATCTCATTACGATCTTCTGTGGGATCGCCAAGCGTCCGCACAGACCCCGGGAAAGGAATATTTTGAAGCTCTACCAGATGCTGAATATACCAATCCCTGAAGGACAGATCGTGTCATTAGCCCTTTACATACCACCTATTCCCTATAATATCCTGCCTTCGACCAGGACGATCGCCCGCAGAAGATGATGAGGCCTGTGCCGCAAGCATATCTGTAGCTGGGGCCGGGATGATTTATGGAGCATTCGGCTTAGCAGTTTCTGCTGTGAGGCTGAGGATGATGTGGAGGAAGCCGAGGAGGAAGAGTGTATGACAGATGATGAGATTATGGACGTCGAAGCCAGGGCTAGTGCTTCCGGTGACACTTTGATGCCACCCCCAAGCATTGTCCCTGCTGTGCTTTCGAGGCCAACACCATGCATCGAAGCCCCTCCTCTGCATGTGCCTACTCCATCCCCTCCAGCTGCTGTGCTGGACCCTACTCCATCCGCTGCTGTGCTGGAGCGTACTCCATCCTCCGAAGCTGCTGTGCTGGAGCCTACTCCATCCGCTGCTGTGCTGGAGCCTACTCCATCCTCCGAAGCTGCTGTGCTGGAGCCTACTCCATCCCCTCGAGCTGCTGTGCCGGAGCCTACTCCATCCCCTCCAGCTGCTGTGCCGGAGCCTACTCCTATGGACCCAGCCCCTCTTCGCACGTCTGCTGACTTTCAGTTGCTTCGTGCAGACACTCGTGACTTGCTTGGATACCCCAGGGCTTATGTCAGCACCCTACAATCCCTAGCTTATCAACCTTAACCCTTGAACCCTGATAACCCGTGGGCCCAGGTGATTCCATTACGACTGCAGCCTCGTCTACGGTGCTTGCGACCCCGTCACCCAGGCACAACTCACATGCTTCTCCTGGTTCTACTGAGAAGTTGCCCCTGCCGAAAAGCAAGAAGCGCATGCTGCTTGAGACTTTGGAACATGAGTATGCTTGCTTGGAAGAGCTCCTCATGCTGAAGCGTCAGAAGATGGCTAAGCAAGCTTTTGAAGCGGCTCGGTCAGTGCCACATAGCCATGGTGACTAGATTGCAGCATGAGCAAGCTATCCAGATCCCGACATGTATATTATACGCATTGTGCACGGCCCAGGTGATGTGGATCGCTTTGAGACTTTGCCAATGGACCTCGCTGTGGCAGACCAAGTGCTTGAGGCTGCAAAGGTGGAGTGCTGCAAGCATGAGCAAAAGATGTGTGAGGAGACCATGCAGTACTATAGTTTATCGAGTGTTTGCAGGTGTTCCATTGTGATCATGTAGTGACCAAAGCGCGCACGCAGGAGACTGCTGCTTTGGACAAGCAGGTCGTTGCAGCTTCTGAGGATACAGAAGCCAAGGAGAGATCGGCCGAAGCCGATGGGTGCGCCATCGATGAGCATAAGAGTGGACATGAAAGCCTTGTTGAAGCCGCTGAGGGTTCGGTGGCTCCAGTCGAGAGCTCTGCTGAAGCAGGTGATGGGCCCGACATGGTGTCCGATGCCCCTTTGCCAAAGCCCAGCGGCAACGAAAGCAAGGGTGGTGGGAAGGGCAAACCCAAGGGTAAGGCTAAGGCTAAGGCTAAGACAAAGGTGGAGTGCCGGGTGGATGCTGGTGCTACGAATTCCGCGGATCCCGTAGATCCCCTGCCAAAGCCCGAGTGCATCGGTTCTTTGGGCGCCGTGTCTCCTGAGCAGCAGATGAAGGCAGTTCGAGGTAAGGGTAAGAGCAAGAAGAAGAGCGGGAAGCAGGATGATGTTGATGTCCCCATGCCGGATGCAATGGACCATGGTGCGATGGATGCTAAGGAGAAGAGGCGCCCGGGAAGGCCAAAGTCCAAGCCAGCTGCCAAAGCAAAGCCGGCCGATGCGAAGCCAGCGCCAAAAGCATCGGCAAAGGGTAAAGCAAAGGCGAAGGCAAAAGCAAAATCTAAGGCCAAAGCCAGTGCAAAGCGCATTGAGCCAAGCGAGCCGCTCGATGCAGAGAACGATGGATCTGCTCCCCACACCCGCAGGGGTAAGGCGATCCCTTGTGACGAGGTCGAGGAGGCTCGCAAGAAGAAGAGCCGACAGTCATGTGCCTATCATCGGGCGAAGAAGGCAGCTGAGGCCCAAGGTTTGTCAGAGGAGGAAGCCAAGGAGAAAGCCAGGGCTGTGTCTAGTCTGATCTTGCAGTGTTGGACCGTCTTGCAGTGTTGGACCGTGATGTATTTGTGCAGGTGTGTGTGTGTGTGTTGTACATTGAACTGGCCTTTGCATTGTAAGGCCTACAAAAGCACCGCATGATTCGATCCAGTACGATGATGACAAGTGAAGCCCTGTGTGCTTACATGCAGTGCAATTCGTGAGCAGTCTTTTGGGGAGCTGGTATGTTGATATGTTTTCTATCGTTCAACCCCTGCCAGCCACGTACGTGTACATACACGTGTGTGCACACCTGCAATGTCATGACGTGTTGCTCGGGCTGAGCATGCGCAGGCTAGGGAGAATGCCTGTGTGGATGTCTCACTGGATCCCGAGACAGCTGTGCTGAGCATAGTGACTGAAAGAAGTCTGCATGGCTTGCTATCTTGATGGCCTTGCGATTGTGCAACTCCTCGTAGTGTAAGTGTTTCTACATTGTCGTGCCAGGTCAACTACTTCAAATCCTATGTGGCTGCTGGACTTCGATAAACTTTTGGATGAGTCAGTGCCCACCGACACCCAAGCCCCGAACCCGGCGGTTTGATCTAACCCACTAG